ATTTTTTTAAACAATATTTAGTTATTATCACACATTTATCTGCATCTCATTCTTCTCCTGGGACCAAGAAAAGGTGGCGAGTGCATGTTTTTCTCTTGGCAATGACACACCTCAAGAAAGAAAGCAGATATATGGTCTAAAGCCTTCCTCATTTTCTAATAAAAGTGTTTGGTGGAGCTGGGGTTGTAGCTGAGTGGTAGAATACTTGCCTGGCGTGTGTGAAGCACTAGATTCATCCTTAGCACCACATAAAAATAAATAAATGAAATAAAGGTATTGTATCTATCTACAACTAAATATATACATATATATATATTAATATTCTGTATTATAAATTTTCCTTTTATTACTATTTAAACAAACTTAGTGCAATCCTATGCATTTTAATCTCTCCCTTTTTTAACCACTCATACTGGGGACTGAACCCAGGAGTGTTCTCAGTCCTTTTAATCTTTTAATTTGAGACAGGATTTCACTAAATTGCTGAGCCTGCCTTTTGAATTTGTGATCCTTCTGCCTCAGCCTCCAAGTCACTGGGATTACTGACATGCACTATAGCACCTGGTGATATCTTATATCTTTATTTATCCCAATTTGCTATGATTTCAATGTTCAAAACTCATGTTGAAAGCTGTCAATGGGTACTTGTTTTTGGTTCTAAATTTCTCCACAGTCATTCTGGATTAGGGTCCATCCTACTGACTTCAGTTTAACAAGATTACCTCTGTAAAACTCCATCTTCAAATGAAGTCACATACTTGGGGTTAGGGCTCCAACACACACACACCCACACATTTCAAACTATAACGCTCAGTTTAAGTAATAAGAAAATAATACATATGTATATAAAATATATATTTGCCTTTGTAGTCATCACTTTTAATACTCTTCATTCCTTTTCGTAGATCTATATTTCCACCTAGTAAAGCAGTTTTTCCCTAACATTTCTTTTAATACAAGTTTGCTGATATTAAATTTTTTCAGCTTTTGTATGCTTGAGAAAAATCTTCATTTCATCTTCATTATTTATATATATATTTTTTGAGAGAGAGAGAGAGAGGGAGAGAGATTTTTTAAAATATTTATTTTTCAGTTTTTTCGGTGGATACAACATCTTTATTTTATTTTATGTGGTGCTGAGGGTCGAACCCAGCACCAGGCGAGCATGTTACTGCTTGAGCCACATCCCCAGCCCCTCATCTTCATTATTTAAAGACAAAGTTCTAGGGTATGGAATTCTAGGTGACAATCCCCCTTGCCCTGGGTGCTTTAACAAGTCTGTTTAAAAATATCTGGTTGCTTTTATGGCTACATCACTAAGTTTAAAAGTTTGATCATGATGTTTTACATGTATTTTCTTCATTTTTTCTTGAGTTTGAGATTACTGAGTTTCTTGGATTTGTAGATTTATATCTTTCATCAAATTTGGAAAATTTCTGGCCATATTTTTCAAATCTCTTCCTTTTGGGGAGATTTCAATAATGTTTATGTTTGGATGGTTTAAACTGTCTCACTGATAGTCTTCAATTTTAAAAAAATTTGTTTTCTGGTTTTTTTTGTTTGTTTGTTTGTTTTGGTCAGTTTCTATTGCCATGTCTTCAAGATAACTTTTTCAACATCTAAAATGCATTAATCCCATCTGTGTTTCATATTACACATCCTATAAGTTAGATTTGGGTATTTTAACATCTATTCCATTTCACTACTAACTTTTTCCCACATAGGGAATACAATTATAATATCCCTATTCTATTTATTTTAAATGATAAATTATAGAAGTATAAAACAGAAAAATATGCAAATCGTAACTGTATAGCTTAAGGAATTTCCCTGAACTAGATAAAATTAGTTTAAATATCCTTATTTCTTAATTTTAATCTCTCTCCATATCTGTTATTCTCTCTGTTATGTTTGTCCTTTTTAGATAATTTATCTCTTCATTCTGGGTCCTATTTTCTTCTTTTCATGGCTAGTTTTTGTTGTTGTTGTCGTTATTGTTTGTTTTTTTAATCTAGTCATTGTGAATTTTACCTTGATGGATATAGGATAGCTGGGGATTGTTATAAGTATTCTTGAACTTCAGTCTGAAATGTAATTAAGATACCTGGAGACAGTTTGATCTTTTTGGATCTTGTTTCTAAAGATCTTGTTTCTACCACCTTTGGTAGGTGGGCCTGAAGCAATGTCCAGTCTAAGGCTTAATATTCTCGACTACTGGGGCAAGAATTATATACTCTATTCAACGCTTTGTGAATCTTGACCTTTTCAGTGTGACTGGTAGTGACAAGTACTATTTCCAGCCTGTGAGAATGCTGGGCACCTGTAACCTTTAATTCTTTCAGGTAGTACTTTCTCTGGTCTCATGAATTTTTCTCAAGTATATGTGCTGATAAGAACTCAGCTGTGTGCTCATAGGGGATCCTTTTCAGGCTTCTGGATTTTCTCTCTGTGTAGGTTTCTCATTTGTCATACTCTGTCCTACAAACTCTAGCTGCCATCGTCCCCTAGTACTCTCAGAGTCCCACTTTAAGTTTACAACTCAGGTGACTCAGATGGGTTCTGTTTGGGTTCCCTCTCTTTGTACCACATACAGAAATGTAAGGCAACATGCAGGTGAAAGGGTAGAGCTTATTTCATTTGTTTTCAATCTTTTAGGGATCACCATCCTTTGTGTCTAGTGTAATGTAAATTGTTTCACATGTGTTGACCTCTTTTTGGTTGCTTTATATAGGAGAAAGTAAACAAATGCAGCCTGTTATTCCATTTTGGCTAGAATATTTTCTCTTTGTTTTCAAATTAGTTATGGGTTTCTTGAACTATTAAAGTCTGATTCTACTACTGAACTTCATGTAGCCATTGTTTTGCATTCCTTAATGAACATACAATTGAAAGTTTATAGGACTATTTATTAAACGTAATAATACTTAAAAAAATATAAGCCTGAGGTTCAGGCTTATATGGTCTTTATGTCTTAGAAGTTGTGAAGAACGTCTCCAATGTGTGTCTTAAAAGAAGGGAGAGAGAGAATCCATGCACAAAGTCATGAGTATGTTATAGTAGCTTCTGATATCACAAGAATACTCTGCAAGGATAAGATAAGAACAGCTACTTCACTGTAGAACAAATATTTGTCTTTGAGAAGTAAAGAAAACACTAATGATTTTAGCATTTCCTTATTCCTTAATGTTACTCAGATTATATTTAGACAGTAATGTTCATCAAAATGACATACCGTTAAAGATTCAGATGAAAGATGAATCTTCATGCAGAAACTTTTCAATAAAGTAAGCATTTATTTAGCACTCACTATATAACAAATTCTTTGCTAGGCACTTTAAACACTTTTCTCAAAAACAAAACAATATCCTATGAAATGTGGTACATTATTAACCCCATTATACAGATAAGAATATAGAGATAGAGACTAGAAAATGGTGGTGGTGAGATTTAAATGTAGGTTGCAAGTAAGATTCCATTCTTTTATTTAGAGTGTACTTAATGTACCATGCTCTCTTCTAGGTGCTAGAAATACAGCAGTTGGGGGGAAAATCCATAAATATAATATGATATAACATAATATAAATATAATAATCTATATTTTCTTTATAACATTAATAATGTAATTTGTGGGCTGGGTGTTAGAGTACTTGCCTAGCATGTGCAGGGCCCAGGGTTCTCTCTCCAGGCCACCATCAAAACTAAAAGGCAATTTGTAATTTTTTTTATGCCTAGAGCTGTATTAAATGTAAAATGGCAAATATTATGTATTTGTAGCTGAGGAAAAATAACAAATTCTTTTCTAATAAGGGAAGTACCTGCTCTGGATTCTCTTACCTTTAAAAATTACCCTTAACAGAAGTTTCTGGCATCGTATGAATAAGATAAAAAAAAAAAGTTTAACCTAATAGGCAGGTGATCCTGCTTCACCAAACTGAAGTAATAGTGTCACAAAGTGAAGGAATGTTCTCAAAGGGAAGAATAATAGTTATCACTTATTGAGGATAAACATAGCATCAAGCCAAGTTTTAGTTAGATATTTATTCTCACAGCTCTTTAAAAGTAGAGAAAACAGTCTATATGCAGTAGTTTTTATATACTTACGCAAAAACTTAATAAAATTTTTGGCTGACTCCAATGATCTTGCCTGTTTCTACCATTCCATAATGACACTTCAATACAGTACATTTCAGAAAGATATGTACTTAAAAAAAAATCAAATCAAACAAAATGCAAAGCCCAAACATTATGTGTATCTGAATCCTTATTAGCTACTCAACTTTCTTAAAGGCAGATATTACAAAAGCATATGTATGTCATGGTTCAGATATGAGGTGTCCCCCAAAAGCTCATGTGTAAGACAATGCAAGAATGCTCAGAGGTGAAATGATTAGTAGACTATGATAGGTGTAATCTAATCAGTAAATTAATTCACTGATAAGGATTAACTGGGCAGTATCTGTAGGCAGGTAGGATGTGGCTGGAGGAAGTAGGTTACTAGGGGTGCCTCTGGGGTTTATGTTTTGTTCTTGGTAAGCGAAACTCTCCACTTCCTAGTTGTCATGTCCTGAGTTGCTTTCCTCCATCATACACTTCCACCAAGAGGTTCTGTATCATCTTGGGCCCAAGGTTATAGTCAGTTGACTATGGACTAAACAAACCTCTGAAACCATGAGCCAAAATAAACTTTATTTCCTCTAAATTATTTTTGTGGGGTCTTTGGGTCACAGTGACACAAAGCTAACTAAAAACAGTGTCATTTCAGATTATGGCTATTTAGATATGCAAGGAAAGACAAATATAGTACTGGTTATACTAATATTGGTTAATTAAATGCTCAAACATTTTCATATAATATATATTTAATTTTGAATGGAAAAATATCTCTTATTAACTGGTAAACAGGAAATAGATATTTTCTATTTTTAGGAATGTAAAGACAGTGCTTTAGTTTGTAAATATAAACGCAAAATACTGAAGTCTCAAAACAAAACTACACATACCTCTACAGCAGGTACGATGTCAATACCAACAGTTAGAAATTCTTCAAACTTCAAAAATGGGTTAAAGCAGCTGCCAACATCAAGTAATCTGATCTTTCCTGAGGCTTGTAGCAACCTACAAAAAGATATTTCACATTATAAAAGGCAAACTTGAAAATAAAATATAAAAAAATACAAACACTTGAGTTAAAAAAATCAGAACATGTAGATTATTGATTCTTTAATATTTTGGTCTCAGGATGAGGGTCCCAAATAGCTTTTGTTTGTGTGGACTTTAGCTATCAACAGTTACCATATTTGAAGTTAAAATAGGCCTAAATTTTTTAATTCATTTATAAAACAATGTCTATTATATGCTACCATAAATAACATTTTAAATGAAAAATATTAGATTTGAAAAAGGGTTGCAAAAAGTGAGATGGGGCCTTGATTTTTGAAGTCTCTTTAATGTCTGGGATAACAGAAGACCACTACTATATGGCTTGGGGAATACTTTAGCAGTTATGGCTCAGTAGTATAGTGCTTGCCTACCAGGTATGAGGGCCTGGCTTCAATCCCTAGCACTGTAATAAACAAACAAACAAACAATGGATTCCAATGTCTGCTTTTGCATTTAAACATAATATCATATGCCATATCAATTTTTACAATTATCTTTGTAGAGGAATGTATCTATTTACAAATCAATTCTCAGTAGTAAACATAACAAGGTTTTTGGATTTCACATTCACTTATCTCAATGATTTAAAAGGCCCAATGAAAGGAACATAAATAAAGTATTTAGGAAAAGTTTTATTATATGCAAGAGTTTTTGTTTTTCTCATTTCCAAAAATAGTGTAAAAAAAAAAGAGGTAGCAAATTTAGTCAAAATGAAATTTCATATGGCTCTATCTAGTTTCAAATAAGGATGAAGGAAAATAGTGGATTTTGTTGTTCCCAAGCCTGCAGTCCTAATGCTCAGACAATAAAGCAACAATATTATGAATATGCCAATTTTGAACATATGCCAATTTAATTGATGCTTAACCATTTTTTTAAAAATTTATGAATACACATTGGAAAACAAAGAAATATAAATAATTAGGTAAAAGCAGAATCTCAGCTCTTTGAAGGCTAAAGAGCAGACAGAACCTACCCAGCTTCTCTCCTGGTACCCTGGCTAGCATATTACCTTAGAGAGATGTTAAAATACAAATGGTAGCTTCCTGGAAAACACATTGTAAGTCAAAACACTATATGCTAAACATAATTTTTTTAAGAGAAGAAATGCAATAAGTAGGGATTTCATTTTTAGCCAACAGCTTGATGTTTCAACATTTTAGAAAAATGATCCTAGTTACCTATTGATTATAAATAAATTATTAAAAAAATCTCTAATATCATATATAACACTGTATAGTACCATAAAAATATGAGTCAATTAAAAAAAATTTTTTGCCAATAGAATGTAATTTTATTTAAGAACTTATCTGAAAAGAGGTTATGAGGGTGTAAGAAAAACAGCAATTCCACCAAAGTGGGCCTTACTTTTAAGGCCCTTAAAATAAGTCATTAATTTGACCCAGAGGAGGGTGAGTTTCTGTAAGGAATAGCCAGAAATTCTCCCAGTGAAAAGAGTTGTCCATAAAACTTAAGAAGTAATTTTCTGTACTGCACCAATCTGAAGGAAGGTCATTATATGTAATTTGGATGAAGGCTATAACAAAAAATAACTTGTGATATCAAACTGAATTTTGTGGCTGTGCATGTTGGCACACACCTGTAATCCCAGAGGTTGGGAAAGCTGAGTCGGGAGGATTGCCAGTTCAAAGCCAGCCTCAGCAAAAGTGAGACACTAAGCAATTCAGTGAGACCCTGTCTCTAAATAAAATACAAAATAGGGCTGAGGATATGGTTCAGTGGTTGACTGCCCCTTAGTTCAAACCCTGGTACCCCCTACTAGTGCACCTGAATTCAGTCCCCTGTACTCCCTCCCACAAAAAAAAAAAAAAAAAAAAAAAAAGTTTTTGAAATACCACACTACATTAGTTCCAAGGAAGAAAGAGGCCAGTGATCTTTTGTGGCATAGATTACAAATTTCTACACTCGAGCAAAAGGTCCAATAAATAGAAATCAGAGAAATACCTGGCACAGAGCTAGTATGCTGCAGCATTTTCATAAATTTGAATAGCCAGTTACAATCAATGAAAAATCTATAATGTATGTGATACTATATACTGCTAGATCTCATTCTTATTCTTGCTTGAAGGTATGGTTAAAAACAGGAGTTCTACAATCAGAAACAGAATAAAACCCAATTCTGTCTCTTATTGTGCAATGTGGAACACAGATAATAATGGGACTCACACATGAGAAATTTTTGCAAGATTAATTGAGCTTGACCCAATGCCTGATACATATAAGTACTCAAAAAGTGATAGATATTGTTATAATTACTATCACATTATAGATACAATCTCTGTAGTCCACTTATTAATGATAGTCCTGAGAATTAGTAAAAGCAGAATCTGTTTCACACTAATTCTACGCCATGGATTTTAGTAAACCGAGTAGCAACAAATTTGATGTTTGTTTTTTTTTTTAAGCTTCTTAACTTTCTATTTGAATGGCATATTTTAAATTATACTAGTTAACTCAACATTACAGTACAGTCACCAAGTACTTAACATCATGGATTAGCCTAATTTATCAATTCTCAGTAATTTACTTATTCCATTTCAAATTCTTTAGTTCAGTTCTTTGATTTTATCTATGCACAAAACACAAATATACAGTTTAAAGAACAGTTACATAGTGAACATCCATGTAATTACCACCCAAGACACTGCCTACACCCTAGAAGCATGATTGATTCTCCCTGATGATACCTCCTACCCTGGTTCCATAATGGTAGTCACTATTTTGATTTTAGTGATAAACATTTCCTTGACTTCCTTTTATAGTCTTAACTACCTATGACAGAAAGCCTAAATAATATAGTTTGACACTACACATTTGCTTTGGTGACTTTTTAAATTTAATATTATGTTTGTGAGATCTGTCTGTGCTTCTGTAACTTACCTTTGTTGCTATATACCTTTCTTTGACACAATCCATTGGGGCTCTGATTAGTGTGGCACTAAGTCTAAAGATAATCTGGAGAGAATTTATGTCTTTACAACACTAAAACATCTGTTTTTCTTCCTTTCCTATCTGTCCATCTACCCATATAATTATCTCACTTCTTTGCTCAGAACTTCTAATAATAATGCTAAACAGAAGCAAGCAAGTGGTTACTATTATGCCACTCTCAGTGGGAATATTCCAGTGTTTTAAGATTAAGCAAAATGACTACTGTAGGGAGAACATACTCAATAAGGTTTTAGAAATTCCTTTTATGCTTAGTGAGGGTTTTTTTCCTTTCAGCTTGCTTTAACACAAATAAATATCACATCTTATCAAATCCATTCTATGCCTTTATTGAGATATAATTTTAATCTATGTTATAGTGTACATTATTTTTTTTAGTTGTATATGGACTCAATGTCTTAATTTATTTTTTTATGTGGTGCTAGAATCAAAGTCAGTGCCTCACACATGCTAGGCAAGCACTCTACCATGGAGCCACAACTCCAGTCCTAGTGTACATTAATTTTACATTAAATTAAAATTACATTCTTGGGAAATGTGTGCTTTGGTTTTGATATACTATCTTTTTTTGTAATTTGATTTGTTTTCTAAATGTGTATGCAATTTAGTAAGCTCCTGTTTCAAAAATTTTAAAAAATTACAAATAAGATAAAAACACCTGGGGATATACCTCAGGGCTAAAGCACTTGCCTAACATGAACAAAATAACCCAAACTCTGGGTTCATGCCCCAGTGCTGGAGGGTGGGGGTATATGAGTCCATACTTTAACATTTTAAAAAATTCTCACCACACTGGGAGCTTTCAAATCACCCAGATTTTGACTTAATTTGGTTAGAATCAGGCATTAGGATTCTTTTTAAAATACATTTTGTTAGTGCATTATAATGATGCATAAAAATGGGATTCATTATAATTTATTCATATAAATACAAAGTATAATTTGGTGTGTTTCAACTCCTAGGCACCCCTTATTCTTCCTTACTTTCTCCACTGATTACCCTTCCTCTAATCTACTGGTCTCTTATATTTTCATGAGGTTTCTTTTCTTTCCTTTTTTCTTTGTAGCTTCCACATTTGACAAAAAACATAAGACCTTGGTTTTCTGAGACTGGTTAATCTCAATATTCTCCAGTTCCATCCTTTTTCCTGAAAATGATATAATTTTGGTCTTCTTTAAGGCTGAATAAAATTCCATTGTGTATATATGTCACATTTTCTTTATCTGGTCATATGTTGAGGGGCACCTAGGTTGGTTCCATAATGTGGCTATTGTGAATTATACTGGTATAAACTTGGGTATGCATGTATCCCTACAGTATGCTAACAAGTTCTTTTGGATAATTACTAAGCAGTGTTATAGCTAGGTCATATACTGCTTCCATTCCTAGTGTTTTGAGGAATCTCTATATTGATCTCCATTTTTTGGTTGCACTAATTTACAATCCCACAAAAAGTGTATAAGTGCTCCCCCTTTCCCAGCATGCTTGACAGAATTTATTTTTATTTGTATTCTTCATAAGTACCATTCTAATTGGAGTGAAATGTAGTTTTTTTTTTTTTTTTAAAGCAGGTCTGGGGATTGAGCCCAGAGCCTCATGCATGCTAGGGAAGGACTCTACACTGAGCCCCATCCCTAGATCTCAGTGTAAGATTTGTATATTTTCCTAAACTGGTAGAGGTTCAACATTTTTTCATATATTTGTTGCCCATTTTTATGTCTTCTTTTGAGAAATGTCCATTTAGTTCATTTTGGGCACTGGAATTTAAAAAAAAAAAATTCTGAGGTGAATGTACTGAATAGCCATAGTTAACATACATTTTAGTTTTTAACTTTTATTAATTTGTTTTTTTTTTATTTGAAAATTTCACATTGATTCTATTCTTTTACTGCTAATCACACAAAAATGTATACCTGTAGTGAATAATCGTGGTCTTTTCCCAAGCTATATAAAACCTTTAAGACACTTAAAATGCTGTTAACCAC